AGGCGGAGCCATGTCTCTTGATCTTAGGGTTGTGGGTTCAAGCCCCATGTTGGGTGAAGAGATTGCTTAAAAATAAAATCTTTAGGGATGCCTGGGGGTGCCTCTTTGGCTTGGGGTGATTCTGGAGTCCTGGGATCGAGTCCTGCGTCAGGCTCCCTGCAGGAAGCTGATCTCCCTCTGCCTATGTCTTCCTCTCTCTGTGTGTCTCTCATGAGTAAATAAATAAAATCTTTAAAAAAAAGAAAAGGAAAAAGGCCTGGGAGTTTTATCTAATAGTGACAGTTATACCCTATCCTCCTCCTTCTCCTCCATTTGCTTTTTTCTACAAATATTATAGGGACATTTTTATTGATTGGCATATTCGTAGAATTTATTTATTAATTTTTAAAAAGATTTTATTTATTCATGAGAGAGAAAGGCAGAGACACAGGCAGAGGGAGAAACAGCCACTCCCTCCCGCCCCCCTCCCCAGGTGGGGGGGCCTGCTGTGGGACTCAATCCCAGGATTCCAGGATCGAGATCTGAGCCAAAGGCAGATGCTCAACCACTGAGCCACCCAAGCACCCCTGTTCATAAAATTTATCATAAAAGTATTTTCTATTCATTAATCGTTAACCAAATAACATGCCCCCACATTTTTTTTCTCTTTTAATTAAGGTAAATTTTGTAGTGAAATGTACAGATCGTAGGTATACAGTTTGATGAGATTTAATAATTACATATGGCCTTGTAACCCCCACCCCCTCCCTCTCAAAATATAGAAAATTCTTCTACTTTGTATCACTCAGTGGGCATTTTTTCTTCCACCCTTCCCTATGCCCAAAGTGGAAATCTTTCTTCTTGGGGCAGGGCCTCCAGGCTGTTGACTCGGACTGGAGGTTGTGAGGGTAACAGGAACATTAACTCTGGTCTGTTGGTCATCTTATAGCTGCAAAGCCCAGTCGCCCAGTTTTAGCACAGAGTTACTGCCTCACCTTCCCCCAGCAGGAAAGTGTGTCTGTCACAGTTTCCCTTTCCTTTCTTCTAGATGCTGAGCTCTTTATTCCCCCGAAGATCAACAAAAGAACCCAGTGGAAACTGAGCCTTCTAGAGTGATGGAGCCCAGCAGAGATGGTTTTCCTTGCACTCCTCCCTCCTCAAGGACTGGCTGTCGGGAGCTGGGAAGAGTAAAACGATAATCTACCTTAGTGGTGTGGAGAGTTGCACAGTGGACCTGAGCAGACACCAGGCAGTTCTGCTTTATTTTATTTTGTGCATAATTTTAATCCTTAGCAAACCAGTAAGCTTTAGCCAATATTGCATCATTTTGTAAGAATTACTGTTCTTTTGTTTAATGCTATTTGAGAGCACATACTATTTATGGTAATCAGAAGATTGGCTTTCATTTCACAGCTCCTATTCTGATTCATTTTGGGACCTTTGACAAGGTCACATAATTAATTGATCTGTGTTTCAGTTAATTGGGAGTGATGTTTCATGGCTTCTACCTCAAAAGCGTGAAGAAAAGAAAATAATGTTTTTAAATTGTTTTTATGTTCCTGGAGGAGAGATTTGTATATAAAAAACATGGCTATTAGCGCTACAAACATTTGGTGAAATTTAACCCCTCAAACGACTTCTTCACATTGACCTAAAGCAGAATAAGTAGCTAAATATATCCTTTGAAATTCTGAGCTTTCAGATGCTGACAGCCGTTACTTTGTTACATCTTACCAGGGCAGGTGCTTCTAGTTATAACATTGAGCTCACATCACCTTAGGGACTATTTTTCCCGCCTGTGAATTTTCTGCTGATGAGTTGGCAGTGTTAGAGCTGGAACCGATTAGAATTTCTGAACCAGTATCATGCACATTGGGTATGGTGAACAGTGGTGCACAGTTGCAAGTTGTTCCTTTCTTCTCCCAGGAAATTGCTGTCTTTAGCTAAAAGGTTTTTGTCAGTGTCGAGGCCATTTCATTTATTTCTCCTTAAGGTGCTTCACTGACCTTTGTCTTACAGTTATTTTCTTTGGAAAAAATGAGAATGTTTTCTTTTTTTTGAGAAGTCTAGAAAAAAGCTCAGTTCATTTTGACAGTGATTTTGTGGCAGTTTCCTGGGTAAAGTTAAAAATTTTTTCCATGCTTTTAGTATTGGAACCGGGCCTTCATGACTACATAAACGATTATGGAGTATAGATAGGCCCAGAATTGTAATTATAGTCATTCCCTAAATAGCAAAAATGTTAACTATAGCATCTAGGTGTGTTTGCTTGTACAATTAAACTTTTCTGTGTGTCTGAAAATTTTCACAAAATAATAGGGGAAAAAAGAAGGTACTTCCTGCCCTGTAGAAATCTACTTTTGGAGTCATACCCATAATTGATTAGCTGTAATTAAGTGCCCCACACTGAAAGGCTGCAAGTGCTTTATGTCTACTCTTCGACCTGGGTAAATGAACATGGTAACTTACATGACTTTTTAATATATTAGAGTGCTCTTGTTACGGACAATGGTAAGGGCACCCACGCCTGATGGATTGGAAATAGAAGTAAATGTGTCCCTGGATAATACTGTGACTTTTCATAGATGTTCCATTTCCTTAAGATAATGTATTGAAGCAGCAAGAAAGAATTTGTGTGAATACAAATTACTATCAATTACTGTCTCTTTCCTGTGACCAAGATGGAGCTTTGTTCCTTTGGAGAAGCAGCAGGTGGGAGCAGACCTTCCGAACTGAAGACAAAATCAAGGAAGAATTCATGGGGAAAGTGCAGTGTATGGGAAGAGGAGAAACTTGTGGAAGTGACGAACACTTAAATTTGGGGAAAGGCTCTGTCAGGATTCTAGAAAAGAATATATAATTCTACCACTGAATTGGGACTCTGTCCCAAAGCAAGTTCATGCTGCAGTAAGCTGAAAACCCCAGTTATTTTGTTGGTCCCCTTGAGTCAGCTTGGCTCAGATGCTCCAGACAGCAAGAGGAAACTTGGAGAGGACGATCTCCTACAATCAAAGTGCATTTTAAATTTATGCTTAAAAAAAAAAAAACTGAGGCAGGAGGTAATGTTTTTATTATGTCCAAGTGTAGCTTGGTGTAATTTTTTAGCACTCCATACACTTTAAAATACATTTTCCGTACATGTCTCCATGTATGTACACACACGTGTTCACCTTTTGGGCATTGTTTATAGTCCTAATTGGAGAGGGTGTTTTCAAAAATAAAACTAATGATTCTTTGTAATTTAAGGTGACTACAAGCTTGGGAAGCAAAATCAGCTTTTTTTCCTGCCTTCTTTGCCACCTCATCAACATGTGCTTTGTTAGAAGCACCACCTGGACAATCTCTTGGGAGTTTCTGGCTTTCTGTCCTTTCTCGTCTGTCATAATTAGTAGTAACTGAGGTGAGGAGAAGGAACATCGTAGTCACCAGGGAACCGTTAATACCCAAGACGTTGTAGACAAGTCAAAGCTAGTGCAGTGGCTTCTTGGGACGCTGTATTGATCTTGTGTTCTGTGCTTCGTGAGCCCTTGCCTGTGCTTCGCGCCTACATTAATCCTACTGGCTTGCTGGTGCCAGTCGGCCGTGCTTACCAGGCCTGGATCCAGGGCCGGACATTTCAGTCTTTGAGGCCATCTGGGCAAACCTGGATATTATGACAATGGCTCTGAGGGGCTTCTCCCTCGGGATGGTAGAGATGCCCTACCTCTCCTGTGAGTGCTTGAATGCGTGCATTTGGGTGTACGTGTGACTACACCATGGGAAGGGACGCCGAGGTGACTTAGTAAGCTAAGTCGGGTTGTGGTCTCAGGGTCATAAGATGGAGCCCTATGTCAGGCTCCGCACTTAGTATGGAGCCTGCTTGAGATTCTCTCTCCCTCTGCCCCTCCCCTCCTGTCTGTCTCTCTCCCTAATATAAATAAATCTTAAAAAAAAAAAAAATCATGTAAGACTTTGGGGCTCCTGTATAAGAGAAGTCTAGCTAGCTCTGGTGATCATCTCCCAGAGGCCAGTTACTAGTATTTCAGTGTTTATCTCTGTTTTTTTACATCAGCTGTGTGAAGTAGGCATTTGGATTCAATTTTATAGGTAAGTGGACACAGGCCACACAGGTGATAGTGAAATAGGGTTTCAAGTTAGAGTTTGAAGCCCATTTCTTTCCACTGTTTGATGCTGCTCCCTGCCAGTGTTCAGATGCTGAGGTTTAGATATAGGGCAGGGAATGTTTTGGGAACTGTCCTAAAAAAATCTATGTTCCATTTACAAATGGCCCTGTAAGATGATAGGGAAGGGCCTCTCTGGTCTTAAGGGACTGTGTGTGCCTTCTGGCCCCTCAGTTGGGTTAGAATGACCAGCATAGGGCCGGTTCCCACAAACCCACACCATTAGCCTTGGAACTGGCAGCCTCTATCCTGTGCCCATCCCAGATTCCAGCCGTATATCCGATAGGTTGATGGGGAATCTAGTGGGAGACGAGCAGCTGAAGAGTTGCCCCCTTTAGACAGATAGGTGTACCTTACTCATTACATGCCAGGTTTCACCAGCTGGTCACCATGATGGCTTGATAAGAACTGATACTGAGACATAAGTGACTGTTGGAACTAAAAGTACAGTGGAAGCAGGGATCAGACATCTTCATCAGCTCTTCACAAGCCTTCATGGAGCATGAAGTGTACTCTGCTGCTTTGTGGGAGACTGTACCATAATAGCATGCTTCCTGCTGTTTATCAAAAGGAATGTGCCTCTACGCCCCAGCAGCCCTGACGCTCTAATGTATCTTCTTCACACTCCCCTTCTGAGCAGATTTAACAATGCAGTCGTTCCTGAAGTGGGGAGTACAAAAAAGGGGCAGTCGTTCTAAGCTTGTTTTTCCCAGGAATGTTTACACAAGCAACACGTAATACAGGTCTGTGTTTCACACATACCCCGGCTTTTGTTTGCCAGCTGTATATTTTAAGGCACCTGCTGCATATACGAACTTGCTCTTACCAAGTCAGGACACAGAGACACACGCTATGGAGGGAACACAAGGCTCGTTTAATACTGCAGGAGCAGACGTGGGCTCAGCTCCGTACGTGTAGGGTGGGTGCTCACCCAGGAAAGCCGACGCACGGCAACCATGCTTCTTCAGAGTTCAGAAGCACCTTCTGTAGAGGAAGAAAGGCCCATGTTCCTCATACTCAAAGCGGTGGACCCACAGTGGTTGGAAGCCCTGAAGTGACGCCAGGATGGAGCCGCCCGTCCACACTGCAGTGTCTCTCTCGGGCAACACGTTTACCTGGGGGTTGTCATTGGGACACATGCTGCTCAGCTCCTTCTGCAGGCGGTTAGGGAAACCGCTGAGCATAGTGCTGCCCCCGCACAGCAGGATGTTCCCCATGAGATCCCGTTTGAGGGCAATGTCACACTTGTTAAGGCAGGACACTGTCTGGGTGTGGAGGCCCAGCTGCATGGACTTGATAAGAGAAGGCTTAAAGAACATTTCCGAGCAGAGAAACCTCTCCTGGCACAGGCTTATCTCCTTCCCGTCAGGCAGAGTGTACTGGATCGTGTGCACAGTGGCTGGGACTTTCTTCTCTTCGATGGGGTCCAGGGCCACAAAGCAGCATTTCTTCTTGATGTCCTCCACAGTGCTTAGCTGGTCCTCCGTGAAGTGTTTCCCCAAGTTATTCATCAGGCCCATCAAGTAGGCTGTCAGGTCAGAGCCCGCGTAGTCCAGCCGTCCGGTGATGCTGGGCAGAGGATAACCCTCGTAGATGGGGACCACGTAGGACACGCCGTGGCCAACCTCCACCACCAGGCCGGACGTCCTTCCGTAGGAGTACATGGACAGGCGGGATTGGTAGGCGATGTGCATGGCGGGAGTGCTGAAGGTTTCAAACAGCATCTCCGCGTACTTCTCTCTGTTGGTGTGCGGGCTCAGGGGTGGGTCTGAGACCAAGACCGCGTGCTCCTCTGGGGAGATCTTCATCTCCTTGTGGAAGAGATATTCCCAGATATCCTGCACCGTATCCCAGTCCACGATGATGCCATGCCGCAAAGGGTTTACTAGCTTGAGGCGAACCTCTGGGTTGATGAGCTCCTTCCCCACAAACGTCTCCTTGCGATTGTCCCCGGTTTTGGCCGTCTCCATGTAGGGCTTGCCCACCGTCGAGGAGATGTTGTGGGTGGGCTTTGGCAGCCCGGCGAAGCCACATTTGCAGTAGCCAGTGCCAAGGTCCACGACCACTGCTTTGGTCACCTCTAACCTGGGCTTCTCCCTGACCGTCGTTGAGTTAGTAGGTTCTTCTGGCTCTGAACGGTTGCAGCGGACCCACACCGCCCGCTTTGCCGGGCCGTCCTTGAGGGAGGCCGTCTGGAGGACGTGGGCCTGGAGAGGGGCCTGTTCGCCGCCTCTCTTGGCAGGCCCATCCCCGATGATTCCTGCCTGTGGAGCCCACGTGCTGTCAAGAGCCATCTTGCTCTCAGAAAGTTCCTCGATCCCACTGCGGTCAAGGCCTGAAAGGCTTATTATCAGACGGCAACTTGGGAATTTGCCCAATGATGACATCACTGATTGTGACATAATCTGGTGACCCGGGGCTTTCTAGATACTGGGAACCTGTGTCCTGTGTTAGGGTGGATTTAAGGTAGTGTTTTGGAGGGGACTTCACCCTTTTCTAGATTGTGTAATAAGCCTGATCTAGCCAATCACTTATTTATTGAGCACTTGCTCCATGCAGGGCAGCTGGGAGAAAGACAAACCTCTGTGCCCTCGTAGAGTTTACACTCTAGTCAGCAGGAGCTGGGGGGAGAGGCAGTGGCCGAGACACACAGGGCAGAAAATGGTAAGGGCAAGAGAGAAAAGGCAGGGAAGGGGCCTGGGGAGGGGAGCGGGGAGCATGCTGCTGCTGCTTCCTCTACCTCCCCTCCCCTCTCACTCCCCCAAATAAATAAAATCTTAAAAAAAAAGTGTTACCTTCTTGGTTCGATGGGTGAACCAAGAGGATGAAATGGCATCGAATCTCGAGAGAACAGGAGAGCACTTTGCTCGATGCCTGGCTGCCTAAAAACTCACGTACTTGCCTCTGCTGTGCAGCAGGGGTTCGCGCGGCCGCCTTGGACTGTTTGACTTCACCTCAAAAGAATGTTGATGTGAAAACCAAAGGCATTTTTAATTTAGAATGGCCCTATTTTTCCTTCTCGACCTCCGTCTTGAATTCGGACAAATGTGCGGCAGCCCGACGGCATTCTCATCGCCCTGGATCCCCGCAAGAGCCTGCGCTAGTTTTCCGAGGCTGCTCTAACAAATTACCACATACTCAGTGGCTTAAAACAGCGTTGGCGTCTACCACTCCGGAGGGCGGGAATCCGCAGTCCCTCTGCTACCTTCACCTGCGTTCCTTGGCTTGGGGCCCCTTCATCTTCAAAGACCTGCCATCTCTCCCTTGACCTGACCCTCCTGACCCACCCTCTTACTAGGACCCTGGTGGTAACGGGGTAGCCTCCCTGCCTCAGACTCCTCAACTCCCCTATCTGCGAGCTCCCTTTTGCCCTGAAAGGTACCATTCACACAGATCCCAGGGATTAAAGGTGTGCACACCTCTTGGGGGCCATTACACACTCTGTCACTTGGCCTGTGCTCCCCACCAGGGCCTGCCAGGCCGTGTTTCACATGCCCCCTCCCGCCCCACGCCCACCCCGGCTCGCCCCCTTGGCCCTTTGTGTCGGTGTGGGTGGGAGAGCTGCTGTGCTGGCTCAACGCCAGGCGCTCGCTCCATCGGGTCTCTAAGGCCCAAGACACAGGGACCCAGGGTCCCCGCACGTCCTGCAGGCTGCAGTCACCGGACTCTCCACTCCTTTTACTTCACCTGACAGGATCTTGCACGCTCGGATGCTCTCTCTTAGCAAAGCCTTTCCCCTTAGCTTCTACGTCCCCCTTTGTGTCCCTTCTCTCTCCGGGGTCAGGACACAGTGTGGTACTGATGATGGGAGAATATGGAGACTCTTGGCATGCACGAGCCCCCATGCTTGGCACTAGCCATCCCAGGCGCTCGTGGGCTCCCTGGGGTCTTCGGTGCAGTCCTCCGAGGTCAGAGGCACCTACTATTACTCAGTATCTCAGGCCACATTTGCTCCTCTGGCCTGAGGCTAGAAAACCATCAGGTGACTCTTCTTGAAAACAACTCCGAGGCCCTCCTATAGGGGAGAAAGAAACCTGGAAAGGTTAGACCAAGAAACCCATTTCTCTTTGAGCTGGTATCCTTGCTCCGGCCTTTGGGACACAGCCCACCCTGGATTCTCAAAAGGAAGGTGAACTGGGCCCCTGTAATTTTAGCAGCTAGAGGAAGAGAGAGAATCTAGCAGGGCAAATGCCAAAGTACGGGGTTTCTTATGAATCACCTGGAAGCATTTTGTTTGTTTTTGGAGGGAGGACAGTGTGGGTGGCGGGCCCTATGGGAACCTAGTGAATTTGTCCGTTCTGTACCACAGGCCATCTTCCTTGCTTTGGCAGAGGTGAGGGATGCATCCTCCTTCCCTCACTCCCCACGGCCGATCTAATCATCTGACGTGAATACAGTTTGAAGTGAGAGATGTCACAGGGTCAACGAGAGAAGGCCTCAGATGCTAAGAGGAAGACCTCGGGTTGAATGGAGGATGGATGGGGAACCACCCAAGTGGATGGGACTCTACCTTCTACACTTCTGGAGAACCCGTCCCTGCTCTCGCACACACCATCACAGCCTGGCTTCGGTCCCCCTCAGGTCTTACAGGACGGTCTTCAGTGGCCTTGCCCCTCAACATCACAGCTAGACACTAATCTTTTCCAAATTTTCTAGCAGGCCGATCTGACCGCCCTGCCCCCGCTTAAAGTGCCGTTGGGGCCCTGACGCTCTGGTGCATTGGAGTTGAATGAACTTGAGTGAAAATACAAACATTTCAAGAGCTGTTTGCTCTTGGGCAAATCTTTAGGATTCTGAGCCGCCTTTTCCTCAGCTCTGCCTCCCTCTCAGGATCCCGGGAGGGCCTCCAGGGAGGATCCAGGTAATAGTGCCTGGCTTACGGGGGGGGGGGGGGGGGGGGGGGGGGGGGCTCAGATATTTATCACCCCGTCAGCCAAGAGGCCGAGGAAGAAAAAGTCAGTGGACAGGGCATCAGGAGCAGGGCGGTAAGGGGAGGGGGCAGCAACGCGAGCCCCCAGTGTGCTGGCCCCCGCCCTGTCTTGGGGCAGAGTCGAGTTAGGGGATGGCCGAGGAGCGGGGGGGGGGGGGGGGGGGATCCGGCCGGCCCAGGCCCGCCCTCCCCGGGCTGCGGAATGGACCGGCCCTCGGTGACCTCACAATGCGGGGGGGGGGGGGGGGCGCTGCCAGGCAGCGCTGGAGGCCCGGAGGCTCATTTCTCCCCACGGAGGGAGCTCTGGGATGTGCATGTGAGAAGGGGGAGCCGCGGAGGCCGATGGCGGTGAGGAGCGGCCCGAGCCCCGCGCCCCTGGGCGCGGCTCAGGGTGACCCGGGAGAGGCGGGGGCGCTGCCGGGCCCCGACGCCGGCCTCCGGGACGCGCCGGCGGCCTCGCCGCTCAAGGCCAAGGCCCGCAGGGTGCGCAGGATCAAGGCCCTGGTCATCGACCTGGGCTCCCAGTACTGCAAGTGCGGCTACGCGGGCGAGCCGCGGCCCACCCACTTCGTCTCCTCCACGGTGGGCAGGCCCTGCGCGGCGGCCGCCCAGGCCGGCGACACCCGCAAGGAGACCTACGTGGGCCACGAGCTGCTCCGCACCGGGGCGCCCCTGAGGCTGATGAACCCGCTGCGGCACGGCGTCGTGGTGGACTGGGACTGCGTGCAGAGCATCTGGGAGTACGTGTTCCGCACGGCCATGAAGATCCGCCCCGAGGAGCACGCCGTGCTGCTCTCCGACCCCCCGCTCGGCCCCGCCGGCCAGCGGGAGAAGTACGCCGAGCTCCTGTTCGAGGCCTTCGGCGTCCCCGCCCTGCACGTGGCGTCCCAGCCGCTGCTGTCCGTGTACGCGTACGGCAGGACGTCGGGCCTGGTGCTGGAGAGCGGCCACGGCGTCTCGCACGCGGTGCCCATCGCCGAGGGCAACGTGCTGCCGGGCCTGCCGGGCCGGGCCGACTACGCCGGCGGCGACCTCACCAACTACCTGCTGCGGCTGCTCAACGAGTCCGGCCACGAGTTCACGGACGACCACCTGCACATCGTGGAGCACATCAAGAAGACGTGCTGCTCCGCGGCGCCCGCGCCCGGCCGCGAGCTCGGCCGCGAGCTCGGCCCGCGCGTGGACTGCGAGCTGCCCGACGGCCGGCGCCTGGCCGTGGGCCCGGAGCGCTTCCAGTGCGCGGAGATGCTCTTCCGGCCCAGCGTGGCGGGCAGCAGCCAGCCCGGGCTGCCCGCGCTCGCCGCCGCCTGCCTGCAGCGCTGCCGGGACGCGGGCCTCGGGGAGGAGATGGCCGCCAACGTGCTGCTGTGCGGCGGCTGCACCATGCTGGGCGGCTTCCCCGAGCGCTTCCGGAGCGAGCTGGGCCTGCTCTGGCCCGGGGACGGGCTCGCCGTGGCCGCCGCCCCCGAGCGGAAGACGTCGGTGTGGACGGGCGGCTCCATCCTGGCCTCCCTGCAGGCCTTCCAGCAGCTGTGGGTCAGCAGGGAGGAGTTCGCCGAGCGCGGCGGCGCCGCCATCCACAGCAAGTGCTGAGCGGGGCGCGGCGCGGCGGGGCGCGGCGGGGCGGGGCGGGGCCGCCGCTCATAAACCCGTCCGCGCACTCGTTCTCGTCTGCTCTGGCTTCCTTGCTCTCGTCTGCCGTCGGGGGGGGGGGGAGGGGAGGAGAGGAGTAGGGGATGGGGGGGGGCGGGAGGACCCGCTACCCGGGGCCCCCGCCCGCCGCCCGGCAGCGCCTCCCCGACCGACCCAGCGCCCCCGCAGCTGTTGGGGGCCACGGAGCCAGGGGAGCCCCGGAGGCCCGGGAGCCCGTGCTCCTCTCCCCGCCTTCCGGCCCAGGGGCTTCCAGGGGGGAGGGCTGCGGTGACAAGACCGCGGGGCGGCCCGGGGGCTCAGCGGCTGAGCGCCGCCTCCGGCCCGGGCGTGATCCTGGGGCCCGGGATCGAGTCCCCCGTCGGGCTCCCCGCAGGGGGCCTGCTGCTTCCTCTGCCTGGGTCTCTGCCTCTCTCGCTGGGTCTCATGACTACATAAGAACTTAAAAAAAGAAAAAGACCGCGGCCCAGGTGGCCTCCAACAACGGCAGTTCATCTCTGGAGGCTGGAGTCCAAGAGCAGGCTGCAGGCGCGGCTGGATCCGGCGGAAGCGACCCCCTGGTTGCGGACGCGCAGCTGGCCGAGCTCTGGGGGGGCGGGGGCTGCCGGGGGCCCTCCTGGCGCCCCCCCCCCAGGGCAGCGGGCCGTCAGCACAGGCGTTGACCGCGGCGGCGGGAGGGCGCCCGGGGGCGGGTCACACCTGCGGCCTCCACGGCGGACGTGGGCTCCCCTTGGGGTCCGCGGCCACCCAGGCCGGCAGGGCTGACGCCGCAGCTCCGCGGCTCGGCTCGGCCCGGAAGGTGCCGGTGGGAAGCTGTGAACGGACGGGGCTGGCCTGGTGGCCACCTGGTGGCTTCGGGGCTAAGGGACACGCTGGGGAGTCCCCGGAGACTCCCGCTGGGGGGGGGGTCTGCCTGGAAGAGGGTGGCCCCTGCCTGTCGCCCCAGCCGCCCTTGACCCCGGGGCCCACGACCCGGCGTCTGCTGTGGCTGGGGCTGGGGTCCGCGCGGGGCTGGCAGGGACCTGGGCTCTTCCCGCGGGGGCGTCGCGGGGGGCCGGCGGGGTTTCCCGCGGGGGGGGGCGGGGGGGCGGGGGTCGTCCTGCGGGCCGCACGCGGATCCGCGTTTTCCCGAGCGCCAGCCCCCGCGGCGCCCCGGCCCCCCTCGCGCTCCTGCTGCCGCAGCGCCCCCGCGTGGCCAGCCCGTGCTCGCCGCTCCCGCTCGCGCCCCAAGAGCCGCGGAGAGATCCTGAGATCCTAGGATCGCGGGGCCCCAGGCGGGGAAGCGGGGCCCGGGGGCCCGGGGCGCAGGCGGGAGCGGGGCCGCCGCTCGCTCCCACGTCCTCAGCGGCTCCGTCCGCAGGCACCGCGGCGCTGCCCCCCGTGCCCTCTCTGCCCCCCGTGCCCCCCCGTGCCCCCCCCGCCCGCCGTGCCGCGCGTGTCCCCGGGTGGCAGAGGCTGTCAGGCCGCCGCCTCCTCGAAGTCCCTGGAGCCAGGCACAGGGACACGGGGGGTCCCGCCTGGGCGGCCGCCTAGCGCTCGGGGACCCCGCCTGCGGGAGCCGCGCAGCCGAGGCGCGCTGGTCCCGGTCCCTCGGTCCCTCGGTCTCTCGGGCGACAGGGCGGCGGCCGGCGAGGATGCGAGAGGCGCCGCGGGACGCGGGGAGCCTGCCTGATCCCCGGAGGCGGGGCGGGGGCGGCCTGAGGCCTGCGGGGGCCCGTGGCCGAGGGCCCCCACCTGGCTGGCGGGGTCTGGGGCCCCTCCCGCGCCCGCGGGCACGCGCAGCCCCGAGGAGCCCTGTCCGCGACGGCGGCGCTGGCCCGGGGCACACGAGTGTGCGCGAAGGCCGACCGCGCCCTCGGGCCGCCCCCGCCGCCCCCGCCGCCCCCGGGCCCGAGGGGCACCCAGGCCCGCAGGGCTCCCCGGGCCCGCCCCGCCGCCCACCGCCGCCCACTCGCGCGGCCCGGGCCGCCTCGCTCCCCGCCGCCACCTGCCGGCTACGCGGATGGGCCCCGGGGGTGGGCCCGCGGGCCCGGGCGCCGCTGCGACGGCGTTTGCGAGCGGGCAGGAGGCGGCGGAGCCGGAGCCGCGGGAAGGGGCCTCCGCCGCGCCCGGGCCCGGGCCTGGAGCGCCCCCTGCCGCCGCGCCGCGCCCGCGAGCTCAGCCTCACTCGGGGGGCGGGCGGGGGGGCCCCGGGCCTCCTTCCTGCCGCCGGGGGGGGGGGGGGGGGGGAGGCCTGGACAGCGGAATGTGAAGAGCAACACATCAACTTATTCCCCAACAAATCGGCCACTACACACGAATCTTTATCAAGATGCAGAGTCGCAGGAACACCTGGGTGGCTCGGGGCGTGGCCCCGGGGTCCCGGCATCGAGCCTGCCTCTCCCCCGGCCTCTGCCTCTCTCTGCGTGTCTCTCATGAGTGAGTAAATAAACTCTTAAAGAAAGAAAAAGATGTAGCATCACACGCTAATGCTCAAGTGCAGAAACCTACGAACATCCACTGGCCGCCGTCCTATATTCTCTGGTTCAGGTATTTGTCCCTGGGGTCTGGAGTTGCAGCTCCTTAAGGGCGGGAGCGCCCTGATCGTGGTTTCTTGCAAGCCCGGCGCCGGGCTTGGCCTCCGAGATGACTCACTCCCAACCTGGGAGGTACAAGTCCCAAGTTATTGTCCCCATCTCACAGGTGAGGATGCTACGGCCTGGAGAGGTCCAGAAAGCTTGTCCATTGGGTGCAGCTGCCTGGTAAGCCAGTCCTGTGCCAAATCAAGGTTTGGTGATTCCCAAGTACCCCCTTGCCTTTGTCTCCTCCCCGCAGGCGAATAACCGATTTCTTTTAACCAAGAAAAAAACATTGAGGTAAAAGCGGCTCTCAAGTAACGAACAACAAATACGATGTAATTTCATGATCAGCTTGAGATACCAGAGTTAAGAATGCTGACCTTTGGGGGATCCCTGGGTGGCTTAGTGGTCATTTAGCGCCTGCCTTCGGCCCAGGGCGTGATCCCGGGGTCCTGGGATCGAGTCCCGCCTCCGGCTCCCCGCATGGAGCCTGCTTCTCCCTCTGCCTGTGTCTCTGCCTCTCTTTCTGTGTGTGTGTGTGTGTGTGTGTGTCTCTCATGAATAAGCAAATAAAATCTTAAAAAAAAAAAGAATGCTGACCTTTTAGCAAAGGAGAGACTTCTCTTGCCTGATTGCCAGAGACATGAATGATCAAGCACTAGAGTGACCTCAGGTGGTGAAAGTCTACTGTTAAGACCCCGTGAGCAGCTGTCATCCTCACTGTCCGTCTGGGCAGCCTCCCCGCTCTTCCCCCAGTGGGTCTTACCAACTCTGCTCTGGGAGTTTTCTGCATGAGATGGGTTTAAGCAATTAACCCTGTTATAACATCTATTAATCGTGTTCTACTTGACTCAGGTGGGTTTTGTATGTGATCCTACGTTTTCCTGGAACGTAGTGTTTCTCGATCAGTGGGGAGCAGGAGTGTGGGCCATTGGTTATGCTGGTGCTGGCTCTTAACACGGCCTGTGAGAGTCCTAACTATATGGGGAGTTTGCAAGCCAAACCCAATTTTTAATTTGTGTTGGTGGCTTGAACTGGGCCTGGTGGGCGTATTGGGTGCCTTAGAAATCAGCAGGTGTTACTAATCAGGTTCCACCAACCCCAGAGAGTTTGTTTAAAGGGGGGTAGCTGGAAAGGGAGAGAGAAATGGTGGGCAGTGGAATTGTCTCAGGAACTGGTTCCCCCCAAACAACAACAACAACAAAAAACCAAATAACAAAACCAGTGTGGACTGTCCTAGATTGAATCAGTAGACCTGGGGAAGCACCTGGGAATCTGCAAGTGAGAAGTTCCCCCAGGTGATTCTAACGGAGACACCTAGTAGAGAAGCTGCTCAAAACACTACAGGGCTGGGGAATCCCTGGGTGGCCCAGCGGTTTGGCGCCTGCTTTTGGCCCAGGGCGCGATCCTGGGGGTCCCGGGATTGAGTCCTGTGTCGGGCTCCCTGCATGGAGCCTGCTTCTCCCTCTGCCTCTCTCTGTGTGTCTCTCGTACATAAATCTTAAAAAAAAAAAAGGGGGGGGGACCATCTGGGTTTGAATCCCAGTTCAGCCACTTAGCTGGTAAAAAAACACTACAGGGCACATGCGGAGCACAATGTAGATGTTCCGATGTAAATCAGAAGTTGTGGCATAGTGTGGGACAAGCCAAAGGGGCTGGGCGTCCGGGATGCTGCTCCTTCGGGTCATAACGTTGCTCACGACCTATTTAAGCCTAAGTCTTCCTCCAAGGCACAGCCCCGCGCCCGCCCCTCTGGACGCGTTCCCTGGCATGCTCTCCAGCTGGACGCCTCCTCCCTGCGGGGCCGCTGCACTGCTGTGGCTTTGCAGGGCTGCCTTGGCCCTTTATATGTCTGCACAACTTGGTGGAAAGGACAGACTGTGTCTCTTCCATCTTTGAGTCCTGGTGGAGCCTTGGGCTTGGTGTGGAGCAGGTGCCCAGGGAAAAGTATGCTGCATTTATTGCTCCTTGGCTCCTTAATTTCTATTTCTTGATTTGTTGTTGTTCTTCCTGTCCAGAACTCTGCAGGATCTCTGAAGAAAATATAGTTAGTTGGCCCTGTGGTGAACGGATGCCAAATAGGCAAACACAGAAAACACACTTAGACTGGGTTTCAGTGGGGTTGAATAAGGAATTGGTCTCCCACCCCATCCTCTGCTCCATGAGCACCATACTCTGAGGCCCCCAGTGGGGTAGGGTCTGCAGATCCAGTGTGAAGATGTATCTTTATCCCCATTCAGAGCAGTGAGGTGGGACAAGGTGATGAGACGTGGGGCTATCTGGTACTTACCTCCCTCCTCCTCCTCCTCCTCCTCCTCCTCCTCCTCCTCCTCCTCCTCCTCCTCTCCCCCCTTCTCCACCTCCTCCTCCAGTATTAATGGGGCCCAGGGAGGAGCTAATCTTCCACCTCCACTTGGAGGCAAGTGATTTGTGGGTATCGCCACACTGAGTCTAAGGTTTATATGGAAAAACAAAAGACCCCAAATAGCCACCACCACAGGAAGAAGACAGTTTGAAGACTGACACTATCTGACTTAAAGCTACAGTAATCAAGACAGTGTGATGTTGGTGAAAGATTAGACAAGTAGATCTATGGAAACAATACGGAGAGCTCCAAAATAGATCCATGCAAATATATAGTCAATTGTTGGCAGAAGAATAAAAGCAATTCAATAGAGAAAGAATAACCTTTTTATTTTTTAAAGATTTTATTTATTTATTCATGAGACACACACAGAGGGAGGGAGAGAGAAAGAGAAAGAGAGAGAGGCAGAGACACAGGCAGAGAGAGAAGCAGGCTACATGCCGGGAGCCCAATGTGGGACTCGATCCTGGGTCTCCAGGATCAGGCCCTGGGCTGCAGGCGGCGCTAAATCGCTGAGCCACCCGGGCTGCCCAGGATAACCTTTTTAATAACATGGAGCTAGAACAATTGGAAATCTTTTTGCAAAAAGCCAAAAGGATCTAGACACAGACTTTACCTTCCACAAAGCTTAACTCAAAATGGATCATAGACCCAAATGTAAACACAAACTGCGGAACTTCTAGAAGACAATATGGGAGAAAAGCTAGGTGACCTTTGGCGTGGTGATGGGATTTCAGCTAGCACACCAACACAATCCATGAGAGGAACTATTGAATCGATAACCTAGACTGTATTAAAATGAAAAACTTCCACTATGGGAAAGAACCTGCTAAGAGAATTAAAAGGCAAGACACAGAATGGAAGAAAATATTTGCAAAATGCATGTCTGAGAAAGGATTTGTATCCAAAGAACTCTTAAAACACAGCAATAAGTAAACAACCCGATTAAAAATGGGCAAAAGGTCTGAATGAACACTGCACCAGAGAAGAGATACAGATGGTAGATAAGCATATGACAAGATACTCAACCCTATATAAAAGACACAAAATGGTGCAGCCACTTTGAAAAACCATTTGGCAGGGTGGTTTTTCTTTGTAACCAAGATAAACATATTCTTATATGATCTAATAATCACACTCCTAGATATTTACCCAGTTGAATTGAAAATTTACATCCAGGGCAGCCTGGGTGGCTCAGCGGTTTAGCGTCTGCCTTCAGCCCGGGGTGTGATCCTGGAGACACGGGATCAAGTCCCACGTCGGGCTCCCTGCATGGAGCCTGCTTCTCCCTCTGCCTGTGTCTCTGCCTCTCTCTCTCTCTCTCTCTCTCTCTCTCTCTCTCTGACTATCATAAAAAAATAAAAATCAAAATAAAATAAATAAATAAATAAAAAATAAAAAAATTACATCCACATAAAAACCTACACACAAATATTTCCAGCACCTTTGTTCATAATTGCCCCAAACTGGAAGGAACTGAGATGTTATTTAGACAGATGAATGGATAAATACATCTATACAGTGGAACATTATTCAGTGATAATTCACTGATAATTCAGTGATAAAACACTATGGACTTTAGTTAATAATAATATGTCAGTATTGGCTCATTAATTATGAGAAATGTGCCACACTAATGCAAAATGAAATAATAGGGCAAATGGATGGGTGGATGGGGGGTGGTATATGGAAACTTTCTGTGCTATCTGCTCATTTTTCTGTAAATCTAAACCTATTAAAAAATTAATTACAAAAGTAATGTTAATTAAAAAGATAAAAAAACAATCTATAGGCCAGGAGAAAATATTTGCAAACCGTATTTCCAGCAAAGGACGAGCATCTGGAATATATAAAGAATTCTCAAAACTGAACAGTTAAAAAAATTAAAAAAACAAAAAACAAAAAAAACCCTGAACAGTTAGAAACAAACAATCCAATTTAAACAGTGGACATAAGACATGAACGGACCTTTCACTAAGAATGATACGTAGTTGGTAGATAAGCACATGAAAAGACACTCACTAGGGTGAATCACTAGCCTTTAGGGAAATAAATGCAAATTAAAACCCCCAAAACAACTATCACACATCTACCAGACTGGATTTTAAGAAAAATTTGTGTCAAAAACTTGATCATTTGTGCATTGCTGATGGAACGTAAAGCAGTACAGCCGCTCTAAAAAATAGGTTGGATTCTTATAAAATTGAACATGCAACTTTCACATGACCCAGCAATTATACTTTGGCATTGATCTCAGAGATATCAAAACTCCTCTTCGTACAAAAACTCATACCCGAGTGTTCATGGCAGCTCTCTTCCTAAGAGTCAACCAGATGACAACCCAGAGGTCACTGGAGACAACCCAGATGTCTTTCAATGGTTGAGTAAACTGGCACATCCATACCCTTGAGTACTACTCAACAATTTTTTTTTTAATGAACTATTAAAACATGAAACAACTTGGATGAATCTCCAGGGAGTTTTGCTGAGTGAAAAAAAAAAGCCAATCCTAAATTGTCACAGACCGCGTGATTCCATTTATACAACATTCTTGAAAGGACAAAATGACAGAAATGGAGAACAGATTCGTTAGGGATGAGTGTGCAGAGGGAGTCGGCCGTGGCTACAAAAGGAAAATGCAAGAGGTCCTCGTGGCGGTGAGACTGTTCCGTATCTGGACCACACGCACGCCTGTCTTGTGGTTAGGGTGTTATACTGTAGTTTTGCAAGGTGTTGCTATTGGTGGGGGGGGGGACTGGCTAAAAGGTACACGGCACCCATCTATATTATTTCTCACAACTGCCCGTGGATCTACACTTACAAGAAAAAAATTTAGTTGAAAATGAAGAGCTGGAATGAGAAAGAAATACATCCTCACGTCCAGACTACAGGTTTAGCCTAATTTGGTCAAGATCTCTGTGGGTGGGATGAGGTATTGGCATTCATTTTTAAATTTTCCAGGTGATTCCAGTGTGCAACCAAGTCTGAGAGCCAGTACCTTTGCAGCTGTGTGGGGGCATGGGGCGTCGGTGCAGAGGCCGGGGAGAGGTTAGGGGTTACACAGATCACCTCCGACCCGCTGCGCGGCCTTGGGAAAGCCATTGAACCTCGTTTAACCTCCGGTTCTTGCATTTGTGCAAATGCAAGAGCTCCCTGTTCTTTCTTCCCAGCACTTTTTCGAGTTTTACAGAGAGAAGGAGCCTGAGGCTCATAGAGATACTAACACTCTTGGTGTTAGGAGCACACACAGACTCTGCTGAAGCAAAACTCCCCTGGTCGTGGGTTTGCCAACAGAAGTGGTTATCAGTGTAGTTTAGGTGAAAAAAGTAAGCTCCTACTCTCACTTCCAAGAGACATAAACAAATTCCTGCAAGGACAATTTGGGTTGAATGATCTGATTTGAACAGTTTGAATTTTTTAAC